TCAAGAAACATTTTTTACTATTATTAGTGTTGAGAACAGTTATGCTGCTTAAGAACGGCATTTATTTAAAATATAAATATTTTGTACATTCTTGAACTCTTCAATGCATAAAATGTGTACACACACACACACACACACACACACACAGCAGTAGAGCAAACATAACTTGTGAATTAATTTAAAAGTTTCCTCTGCTTACCTTGTAAACCTGCTGTCATTTTTACAGAAAACTATACCAGCCTGCAGCCAAACAGGATTTGTAGAAAAGATCAACTGCACTAAATCTAACAGAGATGAATACAAGAGGTGAGTGGCTCTCCACCAAAAATATATATCCTATTTTTTTTGGATAACAGTAGCCGGTTCTCCAACCATATACATTTATGCAAATTTTGCATATTGAGCATATTAAGTTGTTTTGTTTTGTTTGCATGTTCTAAACCCACGGGTAATTTATTACATTTAATAAAAGAGTCACCATGGCTTTCCCAATAGCTACAACTTAAATGTCTGTTTTGTGCTACTATGCCCAAAAGTGATTTTGTTCACAGTTTGGAAAGCAAAATAGCAAATGTTTATCTGGCTTACAATATTATTAATCCAGCCAGCTAAAAATCATACTACTTTACTTCACTCTTTCTCTTTGTTTTCGATTCAGCTGTCGCTCTACCAAAATGGAGGAGCATCTCTTTTGGAAATTTGAGGGCGTAATGCTGGCTCTCACTGTTGTCTTTGCAATACTGGTGGTCGCTAGACAACGCTCACTTGACCGCCAAGCCTCAGACAAGGTTCGGCGACAGATAGAGTCTATTTAGTAGACCGGACTGTACTAAAAGTTAATGGGCCTGTGGCCTGGTGTTATAAACTCTCAGCAAAAGGCATAACCCCACAGTTCATGGAGGCTTCCAGACTTTATCACTGGTTTCATCTTACTGGACGCACAAAGACAAAGCTCTGAACGGGCACAATGTGCTCTTACTCCCGAGACTGACATTACTTGTGGATGCTGCTTCTGTGCAGGATTTAACTAACTAGATGTGAATCTCAAGATCATCCCATCAAATCAGCAAACATTGTGCAAGACAGGAGTCTAGTCCCTATTTTGTAACAGAAGATGTACAGATCTGTGTATACCTGTTCTTTTTAAAATGCTGTGAAGGTGATGTGTGTAGAACAAAATATGGGTGTGTGTTGCATGTTTTCAATAATCCAAAAGCACATCAAGTATTTTCTCAAGCCGAGAATGAACTATATGGTCAAAGTCTTGAAAGAATATACGATTTTGTGTTTCATCACAATGGGTTTATGTTAGTCAGGGTGAGTTTCAGTGAATATCAAAGTTTTGGGGTTTGTTCATTTGGCTTCATTCATTTTGGAACACGCTACCATTCATGAAATCACAGATGTCTTTTTCCAGACTTTCTCCAAACTCGTCCATCCATTAACATCGACATGTTTCTTCCAGGAACATTATCAGTAATTTAATTAATCTTATATGTGCAGTTGCTGTTTGTTAAATCCTTATTTTCAGTATATACTTTTATAGTGTTTTTCACAAGTTCTTTAGAGACTTGTAGGTGCTCTTTATTATAGTTTTTGGTTTTTTTTTCTTTTTCCTTTTTTTCCATTTATGGCGTTTACTTTGAGTCTTTGCCATCCTGAGTACAAAGAAATATTTTATATAAAATTATGTGAACAAACGTCTTGGTTCATAATGCCATTCTTAAAAATACCAGCTCTGTACTCATATCTGACTGATATATGCAAGACTGCATTGTAGTGTATGTTAAAGCTGCTTGATTTGAAATGAAGAGGATGAGATGTATTGAAATCAACCCACAATTTTATTTTATTATTATTTTTTGTTTCTTTATTTTGCAAGCACTTCACAGCAAAATTCAATATTGGATATGCATCTCGTTTGTTGAAGGTGATATTTTGTGCCATCATCTTCAGAAAGACTTTACTCTCCCGGGTTTGGGTACAGAGGTACATTTCTAACTTTTCCCCATAAGTTTATTTACATTATGATTGGTTTGACAGGATAATGCCTTTTTATTAAGGCTGATTGGTGTGTTTTTTTTTAACTCAAGTTAAAAAGGAAGCCATGTGAATTTAATTGAACTTTGTCCCATAACTGATTTTAATGATCTACTTGAAATGTAAAAGGTGTATTTTTATGAAAGATGAGTGATATTTCCTGTCCTCTGTTGATAATGAACTGAGGAATAAATGGGAAAAAGGAATTGTCTGCCCTAGTCTGGTGTCGTGTGATTCTGTCATGATGGAAAATTATGTATTGTGTGATGAAAGTAAAAAAAAAGAAGAGGTCACAAACTCCATAAAAAGAAATGAGTGCACTTTGATCCTTTTGGACAGGAGCAGATGTGGCCATGCTGAGAACGTGTCGTCGCAGAACAGAACTTTGCTGTGTTACACTGTGGAGAGGAACAAAATGGCTTGTCTGGTGTCGTGTGATTCTGTCATGATGGAAAATTATGTATTGTGTGATGAAAGTAAAAAAAAAAGAAGAGGTCACAAACTCCATAAAAAGAAATGAGTGCACTTTGATCCTTTTGGACAGGAGCAGATGTGGCCATGCTGAGAACGTGTCGTCGCAGAACAGAACTTTGCTGTGTTACACTGTGGAGAGGAACAAAATGGCAAATGGTAAGAAATGTTTCTCAACTCCACCTGTTTTTGCTCAAGTGTACACTGACTTGAACCCAGAGTTTCCTACCCTGGGTTTTAAAAACCCGAGGGACTTGGAATTTTATAATTCCCATTAAAATAATGACCATTAAGATGTGTCACAAGTAACAACTAAGAAAATATTAGTCTGCCTCTCAGAAAGTACTTAAAGAATTTGCGGTCTAAGTGTTCACCTGCCAAAAAAAAAAGTCTGGGAACTTCTACTACAAGCCATTGTTTTACTTTTTTTATTTTTATTTTTTTCATGTGGTCTTCCTTCTTAAAGGTATAGCTGACCTAAAAATGAAAATAATTTGTATTTATTCACCCTCAAGTTGTTCCAAACGTGTATGAATGCATTTCTTCTGTTGAATACAAAAGATGATATTTTGAATAATGTTTCTAACTCAACAGCCATTGACATCCATAGTATTTCTTTTCCATAAGTCTGTAGCTACCAGCAATGTTTGTGTATACAAACATCGTTCAGAACCTCATACATGCATGAAACAACTTGAGGGTGAATAAATAATAACACACGTTATTGTTTAATTGAACTATCCCTTTAAATCCAAAATTTTGTATAACTTATGTTACTTTCATGCAGAACATACACAACAGTCGTGTTTTTCACAGCTATAGGCCTACAGACTTCTAATAAGCAAAAGTGAAGTACCAGAATGGTTATCCTCCTCCTCTTGAGACGTCTGCATACGCCTGGAAGACGGTTGAACTTTCTCTTCAAAACGACCTGTCTTTGAAGATTTGCGTTATATTCTGTCACAGCTCTTGTCTGAAATAAACAGTAAGTTTTCCGATTATCCAACGACCTGCGGTCCAAATTGCCTGCGCGCAGTAGCCTATCTCCACTCACCGCTTCTGTCGCGTCGTCAGTGAACGGTCCGGTCGGTTCGTAGTCTGGCGGTCTTGAATCCACGCCGCTGATTTTAGAATAAATGTATACAGCACAGTGAAGCGCTACGAGAAGTATAGATAAATTTGACATTGTATTTTTATTATAGTCACGTAGGAGTGCTTCTAGTCGCGAGGGGTCCGGCATGAGTTTTCACGCAAAGTCTTGTGGGATTTAAAAGGTCTTACCTGCTTCTACGTCACATTGAGGTCGCCGTGATTTTGCCAAGTAAGACATGTTCCTGGATCAACATAACTGTCCAAAAATATAGACTTAACCCAATCCCTACCCCTAAACCTAGCTAACCCTACCCATAATTTATTCCTAAAAACAGTGAAAAATTATATCTGATTAACAAGGGTGTAGAAGCACCCTAACCCTGATTGTAAGCCTAAAACAGATATTTCCTGAAAAGTTATCCCTCAATTCTGATTGGTTGATAGGAGTGTTGATCCAGGAACATGTTGTACTTGGTGAAATCACGGTCACCGTCACATTGATCACCCCTGCTGAAAGAGCGGGATGATGAGATTGTCGAGGATTTATCACGGCCATTATATGTAGATTTCCCTTCCCTCTGAGACACTTTCTTCAATTCTTATAATAGTGATTGGTGTCCACATCATTTGCTGTGGACAGATCTCACAGCAGCCTAATCCTATTTGTTTCAAAGAGGATTTAAGAAACAGAATGAGTCTAGATCTAGGACCAGGCTTTTCATCCAGGGATCTGCTTGCATTATGTAATGTAGGCTAGTTATTCTTAATTATGGTTATTGTAAAGTGTTTCTGAGAAAATGTATAGCTTTGTTTAAAAATATATAAAGTAGGCTATGAATTATTTTATACGTATATTTCAGCAGCGTTTTCAAGCAACGTTTCAGTAACCACTAACCACAAAAGTTATCTTACAAGTTTTGCGCTAAACAGACGCTCGCTAAGTCTTGTTTGCCTGAGAGGATAAAGGTAACCATAGCAACTGTACGATCTCTAGCGATTTCCGATGAGTATCGGACTGTCACTGCATTAGATATCTATCACAAATATAATTACAAACCTCTGACGCTTTTAAAGATTAAGATGACCGCTAACTTCGCCAAAGGCGTAAGAAGACAATTTTGGTAGATTGCGCTCCGAAAAATCGTTGACATCATTTCCATCAAACAGTTAATTAAATCTCAGCCTTTTGTTATTATAAGATTCATTAGAAACCAATGATTAATGATTATTCAAATCGAGATTTTAGCTGTTGATGATGACACTTGTTGTCATCATTGATCGCACCCATTACCTGGCTGTAATGACTCACCTCAGACCTTATTCTAACAGTTTTTACGGTTTTATTAAACAGTTACATTATAAACTCAAAGAGAATGTATACATAACCTACTTTCATTTAGAGTAGGCTAGACAGTGTTCAGAACGAATGAGCCTTAAAGACGTTTTATTAACTTAAAATAAACACGTTTAATCATATACACATAGACAAGTTTACGAACAAAACAACAGTACTGAATACATCACCCATGTAATTTCACGCGTTAAATAGATGAGGTGTCCCAAGCATTGCTGTCACGAGTTTAATTAGCACAGTGCCTGAGAGAGAAGAGAGCTGCGCGAGCTCTATCAGTAGCAGCGCAAGAAGAAAGTATTGCAGGCTGTTCCTCGCATGCAATCACACAGTCGCCCGATGCGCGGTCCGTGCTTCATGGCGCAGCGCTCCCCCACATCACACTAAGAAACACGATGCATCGCATTAGATACTTGTTTAATCAACCTCTTCTACTTGATGATGAACGCTATTTCTAAGAAAACATTAAAAATGAACGAATTTACCCTTGGGATGACACTAGCTTTTTTCTCCACAGATATCCGATTGTCCTGATCTCCATCCAAAAGTTCATCGAGCGCCTCAGCCTAAACACGATAAACGGAGAGAAAGCATGAATTTCGAAGACAGATAGATTAGAAACGAGAATTTAAAGATTCATTTCTTATATTTATCCAAGTGAAACCTTAGTAACAGCTATTTCTACTATGAAATTTGAAGTTACAGCGAATTTCATGCTTTCATAGTGATGAACATAGCTTCACTTGAAATTTCTGAACCCATTCAATGTAGAGAACTCAATCCTGATTGTTTTACGCTGCTCACATGCTGTTTTTCAGATGTAGGAAACTTTTTTTGCGTCAACAGGTTGAAAATGTGCTTGTTGAGTTATGCCATATGACACTCTCGTTTATTCTCTTACCAGGTCTCTTTTGATGAACTGCTCCTCTTGCGCGCTCAGTCGGTTGTCCAGTGACATCTGACCCCTGCAGACGCAGAGCAGCGAGAGGAACACGCTCAGGTAAACCGCCGCGCGGACGCTGTCCATGGTGCTGAATGCTTTGGCGTCAGTAAGGTAAAACTGAGAATTTAAAATACAAAATCCTTTTTATAACTATTTTCTGTTTTAGCGATAACAGCGTTGAAAGTTTTTCTCGGCGCTTGTGCTCTTGTTGCCGCTTTCTATTGCTTCACTGGGTAGCTGGGAAACTTACTCTATTTATACGATGCTCCTGCTACCTGATGTATTCACGTAACGTCACTGCATCCGTATTCAGTAGGCTGTTTTTTTTTTAAAGAACCAGCTGGGAGTCGGTTTGAATCAGAGATGATATCGCTTTGACATCCGTGCAGTTTAAATCCGCTGTTTGTCCGCTAAGAGAATTTATTTAATTTAGTTATTGGTATGCAATTGTTTGAAATTACTGTGGTTGTATGTAATCATGCATCTTGTCCTCTTTACTTAATGAAAAGAACACTGTTTCATTTAAGTACATAATCTTAAAAAAAAAAGGTTCCAATAGTCTTTGTTCAAGGGATGAAAGGTTTGATGTCAGATTCTTCATGAATCTAAATGCCAATTAGGACCTTTTTAAAGATCATTTTCAAGAGTGTAAAGTGAATTTAGGTAAATTGAGCAACCTTGTGACATTAAGATGCCCAAAAAGGGTTACAAATGACCTGTAAGATCATGAAGTACAATATGTCTTTATATTCTTTTCTCTCTCTTTAAAACTGCATAACTCCATAAGTGTGTCGTTCATGTACTTAAAAGTCAGTCTTGGCATTTTCTCTGTTTGTTGTTGTGTCAAAAGTTCTGTGAACCTTTAGCAACAGTGAGCACAATAGCTAAAGAGTCGACATCAGTAAATGCGTGCTGTAAAAACATGAGCATCAACGAAAGTTTTTTTTTTAATGAAAGGTTTTATGAATCACCTCTGTGAGTGGGCAGTCAATTCCACTGATGTCTAGAAGGTTACACCCCTCTAATTGGCAATGGCAGTTCACCAATATATTCACCATATAATTATCTATAAAAATATAAAAGCCCTTGCCCACATATATATATTCACACATAGAATATTATATATGTCCAGGTGTCACATTGGGTTGTGACCATATTTCATCAGGTGCCATTCTCCTATATACATCTGACCTATATCTCATCTGTCAATGCTCTTCAGAATAAAAATGGATCAATTTTCATCCAACACTGCCTTGTTCTGACCTTTGTATGCCAAGATTAACTTGAAACGTGTCAAATGTTTTGTGTTTGACAACACTGTTTTTTGTTTTTGAATTGTGATGCAATATGTGAGTATTTGGCATCTTAAATAAATGGACAGAATGTTTCTGCAAAAAGTGCTGTGATGAAATGACAGCATAGTTATCCAAAATCACAAGTTTAGATATTTAAATGTGATGTCAAAAGAAAAACATTTTACAGACTACATCTCAAATGTTATAGTTTCTCTGAATCTTTTATCTCTTAAATTGACTGCGTAATTCTTTTATTAAAAGTAGTTTTGCCTTTTGTCCGTTTTTTTTATTTTAAATCTCTTTTAAAATAATTACCTGACAAATATGAACTGAAGGATCAAGCATAGCTAATAATTACATTTAAAAAAATGTAATCTCACAGTTCATTTCTAAAGTATTCTAAGAATTCTCTTAATTCTTGCTCATTATTTCACTCTGGATTTTTTTCTCATAACGTCCTGAACAGACCATGACAGGATGAAGACAGATCTTCTACAATGTCGTACATTCTGATTAGGTGCGGTCAGATGTCTGACATTTTCACCACCTCAGTGTGTCTCATTTCTCTCCTCTGGGGGAGTCACTCATCTTCTCAGCAGCTCATAATTAAAGCTCCGCTCTTCTCATGCCAAAGCTCACATTCTTGTGAAAACGGAAGAGCGGGAGCCATTAAAGTGAAGGTACAAATGTATTTATTTAAGTGTGAACATATAAGGGGCTCATCCATACCATCAATACATCTACCACTAGTCCATAGGGAATTCATCTTTACGTAGTCAAGAGTTCATGTTAATCAGTTCTGTCACCTTAAAGAAACAGAGAAAAATGTACTCACCCTCAGGCCAGATTTTTCATCAGAACAAATTTAGAGAAAAATAGCATTACTTCATTCACTCACCAATGGATCCTCTGCAATGAATAGGTGCCATCAGAATAAGCGTCCAAACCACTGATAAAAACATTGCAATAATCTACAAGTAATCCTTGTGACTCCAATTAACAAGCTATTTGTAAGAAACAAATCCATTATTAAGGTGTTTTTAACATTTAATATTGATTTCTCCAGTGAAAAATTCACTGCAGAGGATCCATTGGTGAACAGGTGCTGTAATGATCAATTTCTCCAAAACTGCTCTGATGAAGAAACAAACTCATCTACATCTTGGATGTCCTTATAATTTTTAAGCAAATGTTCGATTTTGGGTGAACTGGTCTTTTAACAGAGCTAGGTCTGCTTTCATTTTTAACCTCCCACAGAAATGTATGTATGTAATGCACTGAAATCCATTCACTTGCTCTCTATGTGATGTGATTTCAGAAAGGTGAAAAATGTATTATTCATATTCAACATCATCATCAGTTTAAAAAGTGTCCAAGTATTAAAAATTGAAAACAGTCCAAGTATCAACATCGGAGTAAAACTGATATTTACTGTAATTAACACAAATTACAGACGATATTTTAAATATCTGATACTGAGTGGTCCTTCATTGAGAGATGTATATGTGTGTGTGCGTGTGTGTTAATGTGTGTGCGCTGACTGTTTGCTCCTTGCATTATTCAGCAGCGCTAGATCTGCCACAGATCCACATCTTTGGATTGTCAGACCATTATTCAACCCTTCACCTGGTTAGCACAGTAACCTTGTGGAGCACACGGAGGAGCCAGGTTTATACAAAATGTATGACGTCCCAAATCAGTCCATGAATGTGAATGCCACTATTGCTCACAAACATGTGCATCTATGTGTGTCCCATATTTGCCATTCAGATACAACCATAGATAGTGTCAAGGTTCCTAAATGCTCATTCTTGGGGTTGTGTGTTGATATTTTGTCAGCAACAGCTCTTATCCGGTATACAAAATCAGTAAATCTTTCTTTTACATTTCTAAGCTATTTTTAAAAAACTAGGAAATGTATTGTGTTAATCAAACAAAATCCTATATGGGTGTGTGCGTGTGTGTTAATGTGTGTGCGCTGACTGTTTGCTCCTTGCATTATTCAGCAGCGCTAGATCTGCCACAGATCCACATCTTTGGATTGTCAGACCATTATTCAACCCTTCACCTGGTTAGCACAGTAACCTTGTGGAGCACACGGAGGAGCCAGGTTTATACAAAATGTATGACGTCCCAAATCAGTCCATGAATGTGAATGCCACTATTGCTCACAAACATGTGCATCTATGTGTGTCCCATATTTGCCATTCAGATACAACCATAGATAGTGTCAAGGTTCCTAAATGCTCATTCTTGGGGTTGTGTGTTGATATTTTGTCAGCAACAGCTCTTATCCGGTATACAAAATCAGTAAATCTTTCTTTTACATTTCTAAGCTATTTTTAAAAAACTAGGAAATGTATTGTGTTAATCAAACAAAATCCTGTCAATTCCTTCAAATAGTTTTTCACTGGCAAAACTCTACTCGGAAAAAAAAAAACCCCGGGGGGCGGAGTCCGGGGAGTGAATTTCGAGGGGGGACAGAGTTTCATTTCCAACTGGTTAGGTTTATTTGCTAATTAAAGTGATTTCTATATTTTATCCATTCAGAAGACTACGAAAGCGATTTTTTGTGATTGGCCATAATACCTGCAGACTGCAGCCAATAGAAATCCTTCTCTATCAGTGTGCCTGCTGCTCTTCACAGCACAGATCGTGTTTGCAAATGTGAAATTGAATTTATAGACAATTTTAGACATTTTTGATTTTATACAAAAGTTAATATTAAGTGACTTACATTTTAGGAACACTACTGTCTAATTGTGCTCTATTTCGTCAACGAAAATAGTTCCAAACAAAGTCACAGCTGAGCTGCTGTGCATCTTCAAGCAAACACTGCGCGCTGTTTCGTTTATGAATGAATCTGCGTTTTTGAACAAATCTAGTGAGTCAATGTTTCAATGACCCATTCATAAAGAGAGTCACCTTTGCTTCATTCCTAAATGAATCAGCCGTTTGAACGAATCGATTGAATTAATGATTCAGTGACAAAGACAGTGACTTGCTGCCACCTACTGGCGGTTTCTGTTTTATTTATTGTTTTATTTTATTGTTAAGTATAAATTGAGTAATTTAAATCGTTTAAAGGTGACATATCATGAAAATCTGACTTTTCCAGGTTTTAAGTGCTATAATCAGGTCCCCGGTGCATCTATCAACCAAGGAAACGTGAAAAAGATTAACCCAGTAACTTTGTTTTGGGAAGCCTTTTTCTGCAAGCATCTGAGAAAATGAGCGCGTCTGATTTCGCTCCCTTGGTGACATGGCAAAGGTATCTCATTACAATATTACCGGCCCTTTAATCTGTAAGTTTCCACCCACGGCGCCGTCATTTGGTTTAAAACGCATGATTTCAGGCGATAAAAATGATAATCAGAACCAAAACAGATATTTTTAGCAGGTATGAGCTGTAATGGCGTAGCTCTATTCTGGAAAATGGGGTGGGGAGCAGCAGCTCATTTGCATTTAAAGAGACAGGGCCGAAAAAGAGCATGTTTCTGCTTCCACTCAAAATAGGCATTTTCAAAATGATATGTAAATGATCTGTGGGGTATTTTGAGCTGAAACTTCACGGACACATTCTGGGGACACCAGAGACTTATATTACATATTGTAAAAAGGGGCATAATATGTCTCCTTTAATATTTCTATATTCAAAACTTTATATTTAAAACATTAATTTCATAACATTGTTATTATGAAATGCATTAATACTTTTTCTTGTCAAAAAGTCTGTAAATATTCTTTAATACCACATTTGTGCTCTTCTGTGCTGTGCAGAGATGAATTGTTGATGCTGGTTTCATTCTTACTGATTGTATCTTATTATTTTTAATGAATTTATTGGTTGATTAAAATTTTCATAAAAGTTTATAAATCGAAATTTTTGGGCACAAA